CCATCTCTAAACAAATTGCATACGCCCTGGCTAACACTAAATTCTGTCTAAGATATTCTTGGGCATGTTCATCACTGCACTTGCCAACCGTGTTACTTCACACATGTAACCCATTCATACAGGTCTCAAACACCTCGGGTTCTGAAGAAGCTCAGTGGCTGTGGGCGCCCCCTGCCTCCTCACCATGGACTATAAACCAGGACTCAGACAGAGGCTCCCCTCTCGCTAGCGCAATGAGAGCCCACCAAAACTGGATGCCCTGAGACTTCCCGAATTCTCTCCCACATCTTCTAGTTGGACTCTGATTATCACTAGATGTTTGGGTCACGTATGAGATTCAGAGCCTGGCCCTTGCTCCAAAATGCAGGCCCTCTGAGGATGAGCCCCCACGCAGCTCCACACCAGTCTCCTTCGAAAGAAAAGGCCCAGGAGGCCCGGTCACCCTTTCTCAGTAAAATCTGCACCCAGCACCTCTTTAGCCCTGCTGAGCTGGGCCTACAGCACCGGAACTCTAGGGCACATGTGAAGGTCACACAGCTGGTTCTCCCTTATGTCTCAGAGAATCAGGCTGATGCTCCCTCTTTTTATCAAAGCAGAAATGGAAGATCACAGCCAAAATGAACAGTCTGAACTCAAATCCACTTAAACCTAGAGTTCTACTCCTCACCCTGACCCTACACAAGAACTAGATACTACATTTTATGCCTGTCAAGCAGCTATTGATATCAGGGTTGTCAGTTTGCTGGAACACTGCGGTCAGAGTTGCTTTAAGGCAGTGGTTTCTTTTTTTAAACTTGTACACGTCTGTAGTACATGCGATGACTTCACCATGGGGGGTTTGTTCATGCACACCGCACACCCTAATTCTTCCTTTGTCCCCTTCCACTCTTCCCTCCAACCTTTCTGCCCCTCCCCATTTACAAAAGCTGCACCTCCATTTTTTTCCTTCAATGCTTTTTCTTTAAATCCCTTTTCCTTTCCTTCTCCCCTCCCCTATCTCTTGTTCTCCTTCCTACTTGAAAAAGTTCCTCCTACTTCTTAGTATCCGTCCTCCATTTTGCTCTTTATCTGTGTTTCTCAGAAACTATGTGATATTTAAATTTGCAAGTCTTGTCGGGCATGGGGGCTCACGCCTGTATCCCAGCACTCAGGAGGCTGAGGCAGGAGGATCACTGCAAGTTCAAGATGAGCCTGAGCTACAAAGTGAGCTCAAGACCCACCTAAACTGCATAGAGACTCTGTCTCAAAAAGACCAAAAAAAAAAAAAAAAAAAGAAAAGAAAAAGAAAAAAGAAAATTGCATGTCTGATTTATTTCACTTAAGATTATGGTCTCAAGATGCATCTGTTTACCTACAAAGGGCTCAAGTTTATCCTTCTGTATGGCAGGGCACTCCATTTTATTTATCCACTTTTTCATGTAGTGCTTCTACTTCTTCACTGGAGAAGTGTCTGTTCATTTCACTTGCCCATTTTTTGACTGGGTCTTTAAACTTGAGGAGTTTTGTTTTGTTGTTTAGTTCTTTATGTATTCTAGGTATTAGTCCTCTGAGGAGTAAAAGGTAAACTTTTCCCACTGGGTAGATTGTCTATTCACTCATTGGGTAGTTTTCTTTGTTGTGCATAAGCTTTTAAATCTGATGTGACCCCATCTGTTAGTTCTTTGTAGTATTTCTTGTACAACCAGGTTTTTGTAGCTGAACTCGTTAAGGTAGCAACTTGCAAAGTGTCAAGACAAAAACCTTTCGTTGATTCTGGCCAGCAATTTTGTTAAAGAATGGGAAATAAATACAACTGTATCACATTTAAGAGTAAATTCCTGAATCTCTTGTCATTTTATATAACTATGTATTGTAATGGCAAGCAGAAACACTGAAACACTCCCCCGCCCCAGAATTTGGAGGCAGATTTATGTCTTCAGACACTGATCATGATCATTCCCAAAATATCAGGCTCTGATCTTTGGTGATCTAGGGCTTATTATAGGGTAAGCAAGCAGGAAGTACAGAGGCAGAATGGCTGGTCAGTTGGGGATTGGTTCTGACAATGTGCATCACAGTGACCAGCCGTTTCTAGGACACAGAAGCAACCAGAACAGCAACAGTAGCTATTACCTGGGCAACTAAAGTATACTGAGTGGGGGGCGGGCCATTTGTTGTTACAGCTTGTGTAAGAGTCTCTTGCTCTAAGATATAATCCAAAAGAGTTAGAAAGCTACTGATTTAAGGATTAGGTCCTTCTAGATTTGATTTGAGGTTAGATTCCAAGGCTTAATTCCTCAGATTTAATAAACAGTGCTGGAAATGAATCAAGGCTCTGCCAGAAACTGTGTGGAACAGGCAGCACTGGAGCAAAGGCGTGGGGACTCCTGTGGTGGAGACACATAATCACCAGGGGCAGTAACAGAAGCAGGTGCACAGGTGAGGCCCACAGCTTCGTGCCACTAGACCAAGCAGAAGGCTCAGGCCGTCCCCCACCACTGACCCCAGGCTTTCTTCTCAGCTCTCCTGGAGAAGGCTCAGGCCGTCCCCCACCACTGACCCCAGGCTTTCTTCTCAGCTCTCCTGGAGTTGTCAGCAACAACAAAGAAGACTCTTCCCTCTTTCTGGCTAGTCTTTATCAATTTAGGAGCCCCCATCTCTGCTGCCATGCTCCACAACTCACACTACCAGTTTGCAAAACAAGAACTTAAAAACCATGATCAGTCACTTGACACCTCAAGCCCTCATGTTCATCTGCCTCGTTCCACCTTCCTCTCTGTCTCCAGCAACAGCCCCAATCAGCTGTCTGGTGGGCATGTTCAGCATCAAGACCAATAATTCTAGGATGTGTCTGCCTGTGTGTGCCACAGGCCACATACAGTGCTGCTTTGGGGGATTCTATAAAATGCACATTCAACTACGACTAAGAGATACATGCCTTCCCCCAACGGTTCATTCACAATTTTTGACATGTATCTATATGTACATATGCTTGTTCTTTGGGGTTTTATTTGTTTTTATTTTTGAGACAGGGTCTCTATGTAGTTCACACTGGCCTTGAACTCACTTGTATAACCTAGGCTGGCCTCAAATTGTTGGTGATCCTACTGCCTCAGCCTCCCAAGTGCTGGGGCTCTAGGTATGTACCATCACACCCAGCTCATGTGCTCATTCTTGTAACATGCTGTCATTTGAATACGCCACACAGTTTCCAGTATGCTGTCACTACAAGCAACACTGCTATGAACATTTCTGGACATGTCTCCTTGGGTACACATGGGAGTTTGTTCAGAGCGTACCTGCCTAACACATGGGCAAAAGCACAAGCCCCCACGTTACCTTGAAAAACTTTAGCTGAGCATGTAGTGTGAGCCCTAGTGCTGAATACAAAGGCTCACCCAGGCACAAGCACACCAACACGATAGGTGTGGTCTTGATGCCTCAACTGGGCCCAATAGAAGTTTGATTTATGCCTTAGCCTCTCATTAGCTGCATTATGCACTTGTGTGAGTGCCATAATACAGACTTTCTCAGGAGCAGATAAATTCATCAGAATGCAAACAAAGGCAGGGCATGGTCACACACCGCTGTAATTCCCAGCACTTGGGAGGCTGAAGCAGGAGGATAACTGAGTTTAAGGCCCGTTTGGGTTACATAATGAGTTCAAGGCCAGTCTGGACTACAGAGGGAAACCCTGACTCAAACTAAAAAAGTGAAACAGAATCAACAGGATTGGGTGTGGTCCTCTCTGAAGCAAATGTGTAGATCTAGAGGGCCCAAGAGAAAGAACTCCCAGGCAACGTGGAGTCTTTGCAGAATAATCCTGTAAAAGGTCATGCTGAGCCCATGCTATGTCCCAAGGCTTCAGCAAACATACACTCATGTTAAGAACTACACTGGCTTTTAGACAAACCAAACCCCTAGAGACTCTCAGGAAACTTGTGACAGAAATGGGCACCACCTGGCTTGTAAGCAAACCCTTTCCTATTCCCTGCAGCAGCTCTAGCCCAGTCCTTTCTGCAGATATCCTACTCCACCAGCTTCTTGGAGCTTTTCTCCTCCTTCAGGTCCTTCTGTCACCCTCACAGCTGCTGCCCCTTGGGCCCTCTCTCCTATCCTTAAGATGCCTCCCACCTTCCACCCTTCATGAGCCTCACAGGTGCCATCTCTAAAATGGAGCAGGATTACTGTGAAGCATCAATCAAACAAGTTGTGTAAAAGCACCGACACAGCTCTGTTCTGTCCCCTGTTCTATGAAGGCTCCATCCTGGCTCCGAGCTCCCCGTCCTGGCATCCCCTTTGACTCTGCTCTTCCCTGCCCGCCATACCCGCATGGACTGTGCCTGTGCTCTCCCATCCCCCCACCTCTCCTCCCATTGTTACTGCTGCTGCTGCAGCATCAGTAAGACAGCCGTGCTCACACGCTTCAGAAACTTCCAATGGTCCCCAGTGCCCCCTGACGAGTCTACACCTTAGGCTGGCATGCAAGGCCTTCTGGGAACCAGCCCTTACCCACCTTTCCAACTGTAGTGGCCACCCATGAGAAAATCACTTGCTGGGTGGCACACAGTGAAAACAGTATCCAGACGGGATTAAACAAAGCTTAGCGAGCTCTTATCGCAGAACTTTAAGCCTTTAATACCTTAATGTGCACTCTGATCTTCACATTTTCCCCCACTTTTTTTTCAACGTCATGAAATAGTCGAGGGCAATGTTTCCCAATATGCCTACAGAATGCGCCAGTTAGGACATGTACATAGGCCCGGTGACTATGGCCCATCGTCACCACTGTAGGAGATCTCTATGGGGCTATAAAATCCCAGGCAGGTGGATAAAAAGGGAATGGCTGCCAGCAATGCCCTGTGAGGGCTCAGAGAGACGCTTCAACCTTGTCTGCCATGGCTACCAGCTTCCCAGTCCCAAGCTAGGGACCCTCAATGACACACAAGTCTTTGGGTCCCTGAGCAAAGCCACCCAAATTGTCAAGAACAGTCAGAGCCAGCCACCCCCTGGTGCAGTACCTGTCCCATCTGGGGTGGACCTCACAAAGGTGGGCAGCATTTTCACAGAAGCAGTGGGATGGGTGGTGGCCCCAAGTCCCTTTTCCATCTCCTTGCGGAACCGCTTAGAAATGTCCAGAAGGGTCTCATCGGAGAGACGCATGTGGTAGAGGTACTGGTCAACCTAAAATCAGGAAACCAAAAAGAGAACAATGGGTTAAATTTATGATAGTATAGTTCTGCGTCATGGCATATCACTCAGAGGCAAAATCTGTCACGGACAGAAGGTGATTATTAGACTATTAGCATAAATCGATTTGACAAGCCTTTGTTTTGGAGAAACAACAACAATCCTGGGGTTCCCTTCTTGGAAACTCCCACCACCACCACCATCATCATCATCACCCTCCTCTTCTTCCTCCTCCTCCAGCAGATTTTCCAGTATTTTCATCAAGTCCTCTTGATTTTCTTTTCCTTTGCAGCATTGGGGATTGACCTCATAGCACTTTATCTTAGAACATTTTATTTTTTATTTTGATATAAAGGCTCACTAAGTTGCCCATGCTGGCTTCAAACTTGTGATCTTCCTACCTCAGCCTCCAAGTGGCTAGGATTTGGGGCATTGGCCACAATTCCTCAAATATTTTTAACAGGACTTGCAGCCTAGGGTTTCCAAAGCAGCAAAAGGTATTTAATCTTCTAAGGACACTAGTGCACTCCTTCGTGACAAAAAGAGAGAAGTCCCCTTACTCACTTCTCTCTTGCAGGCTGTATCTTAACTCACCATGGGATCATGCAAACCCTTCTGTTTGGGACTGACCACTGCTGCCTTATAGAATAATGGACTGACCCTCAGAAGCCCTCACCAATCCCCATTCTTTATCATTCTTCCAAGATTCCAAACGTGGAACAATCACTCTGGGGTAAAACAATGGAAGCAGCCGTGAGCAGGAGAACAGAGTCCACAATGGACCAGCCAATTCCTCCCTGCATGCCAGACAAGGGTCACAGACACACGGATCCCAGGACAGGGTAAGGACAGAATAGGAACAGACGGTGAATGGTGATGGGGCAGCTTCTTCCCGCTCAGCGGGTTTCAGCCTTTTCTCCCATCCTTCCCCTACCCACAGAGAATGGGAATGCATAAATGGCGGATTTCCCAAAATCTCCTGCTGCCGTCACATATTAGAAAGCTCCCTTGGACTATCTGGGTCCACTGGTCTTGACTGGGGAGAATCCAGCTGTCACTGTGTTTCATTTCAGGCTCCTGGTATCTCACTTGCCTTGTGCCCACTAACCTTCCAAATCTGCCTCAGTGTTCTAGGGGTGCAGGGTAGTAACCACCCAGCTCTGCCCTCCCAGGCCTAATTACTTCTTAAATACTAAATAGTAGGCTACTTCCTAAATACTAGGGTGCACACATGTAAGTCTTACACCACCTGGGGATCAGAGGCCCAGAACAGGTCACATTCAGGACACGCCTGGATGCCACATTAACACGAGTCCTTCCATGGCGCCTGCTTAGTGCCAGCTCCAAAGCTTTGTAGCCATTAACTCATTCAATCCTCACAACTGCTTCAGAGGTGGTAGTGTTAACACCTCTATTCCACAGAAAGGGAAAGTGATGTGCCAATCATGAGGACCTAAAGGGCCCCACGGGGCTGCACAGGGCGGCCTGGCTGGCCTGTGTCCTCACGTGCTCTGCTAGCTGACTGCCCCTCTTCTGCTCGATTACAGTAGATTCATAGAAGCCAAGTGACACTGCAGCTGACCAAGCTGGCCACACCTCTTAAAAAGATGGCCTTCAGCTCCAGTGACCCCCCCCCCAAAGCAGATATGAGGAGCAGACAGCAGAGACAGCAGGCCATAGTCCTAGCCTGACAGGCCAAGGGCAGCAGATATATCTCTGTTCAATGTCACAAGCATGCCACATGACAAAGTCAGACCTCTCACTCAACTCTTCTCAAAAGGCTGAGAGTCCCACCCACCCTCTCAGCTCTAGGCATCCGAAAAGGTATCAGGAAAGCAAAGACAGCTATTAAGGCCTTGTCACCGGTCCTGAGGTATAACTCAGGTCTACAAAAGGACAGCTTCTACCCCTGCTATTCTTAGCTTATCTTTGTTTTCAGTTGTATTGTTTTGTTTTGTCTCTGTTATTGGTGGTGGTTTGGGATTTTGTTTTTATTTTTTAATTCAGGATCTCACTACATAGTTTAGGCTGCCTTGAATTCACTCTGTAGCCTAGAGTGGTAATCCTCCTGCCTTGGCCTCCTGAGGGCTTGGATTACTGACATGCACCACCATGCTGGGCTTCTTAGTTTATCTCTTGCTACCATGAGGATTCCTGGAAATCCAGGCAGATGCCTCTCATCCTTACTCTCAAACAAGTAACCCTTTAGTCAAGTCATGCTCCCCTTTGCCCAATAGATTATAACCATCTTCCTAGTGTCCAATGTCAGATGAAAACACAGTGACAAAGATGACAGCTGATGGTAACTGAACATTGAATGTTCACCAACATTTCTTACCTATCTGGTGCGTTACTTTACGTGTCTAAAGCACTAATGATCTAAATTCTCTCTTGCCAAACTTCCGTATCCCTGGTTACAGTCACTCAGGTGCCAAGGGGCAGAGCCTCACCTGTCCATCAGGGCCTTTCTAGGGTGGGCAGCCACTCCCACCCTGCTGCCCTGTCATTTCTTGGATGATCCCATGACCTTGGCTTCCTCTCCATAATGAGGGACTAAGCAAAAGGACCCAGAACACCTCTAAAATTCAAAAGCCCAGTATCTTGGCCCAAACTTCCCCTCTTTCACCTTGGAGTTCTTTGAACTCTCAACGCCTGAGTAGATGGCACCTGGGCGTGATGCAGTTTATTAGGGCCACTATGAAGGGACAATTAATCACCTAATGCCACAGCTTCCTGAAGCTACCACAGGTGCCCACTTGGCTGGGCGGACAGTGTTGTGTTGGGTCAACAGTGGCCAAGAAAGCAGAAGTCAGACAAGATGCAGCCTTCAAGCAACAATGATTTTCTCACATCAGGAAGGAAGCAAATGCAGTTTCCAGAATCCTATCAGCTTTCACCAAAGTCAGAAGGAAGGAGCACCTGGCCCAGTCACAGAAGACAGCCACTCAAAGAGTTTGCCAAGTGGACACATGGCAGTGGAAGACAGCTAAAAAATATCTAATCTTAACAAATGAAAGTCCTTTGGGGTCACTAGTTCAAAGTCCCAGTGAATAAAGCATCTGGCTTTGTTGACATTATTTCTCTCCCACTCCAATAGTTACCAGATCAGATTTGAATGCTTCCAAGCATGAGAAGCTCACTACTTCTGTAAGCTCCATAAGAGAAGCTCAAGTTAAAAAGCTTTGCCTCAATCAAATAACCGTGGTGACTTCTGCTCAATCTCCATTTTGCCACTTGTGATAAGAGTTCCCAGACTTACAAGTTCCCTCTGATGAATCTGATCAATATTTGGATTTACACTGTGTCGATAAGCTTAATTTAAAAAAAAAAAACCTTTAGACTTGAATGCATATCAGAATCATGAGGGCCTTTCTTAAAAGGCATTAAAAATCCCAAGTATCTCTCCATGCACAGACTAACCAAATGAGCACTCCTACAGCAGGGAGCTGTGACACCATCCCCTGTCCCAGGCAGATTCCCATCTCCCAGTGATGGATGAATGAGTGACTGTGTCCTAGTCAACATGTTTAGGGTAATTGTTACTACTCTTCTGCCTGGGGTCTCTGAAAGCCAATAGTGAAAGACATGAGGCCAAGTGTGTCCCTGTGAAATAATCCCGTGTTGATCCAGGGTGCCGGGAGCTGGAGAGACAAACCCTACAATTGCTGGAAAGAGATTTAAGTTGTTGGAAACCATCAAAGCAGAATGATTCAGGCTAACACTCAATTTTTTGTTGCTGGGGGTAGCGAAGCAAGGGCTTTAGTACAAAAAAAAAAAAAAAAAAAAAATCAGTGAGCAAATCCTACCTGTAACATTTACACAGATGGGCAACACTGGAAAACTCACACTTCTGAGTCCCATCCAGTTTCTTCACTATACAGTGGGGGCAAAGAGCCCTACACACAGACAGAAGCATAATTAAAAGCACCAACCTGAAGCACTGTACAGCCCTCTTCTACCCTTTCTCCTCTTTCTGCTAGATTTATTGCTGCCTAGTGGCGTCCTCTGAAGAGCAAAGACATTTCTCAACCCCACTCAGTCATACTCAAGAGTTAACCAGGCAAAGACTTTCCCCAAATTATTCCATCTTTCCATATTGGTGGGCCTATCACACAAAGCTGCTTCTCAGTCTCTTATCTGGGCCAACAGAGGAAATGAGGGGCTCTCTTCCAGGCTAGAAAGAGAACCCAGGGGCAGGCCAGTGCAAAGCTATGCTGGAGTCTGGGAAAGCTGTCTGCCTGCCCTAGAGGCAAGGGTGTGTGGTAGAACGATATAGCAGTTTTAGCTGAAATCTACTTAGCAATGTTGAGATTAGAACTTCCTTATTAGGCAATTTTGGTCAATTTCATTTTCCCCATAACAAGTTTCCGGAGATTAGCACTAAAGGAGGGGAAATTACAAAGAGCAAAATAAAACACAGTAAGAAATAGGGAGATTAGAGCTGGGCGTAGTGGCTCATGTCTGTAAATCTCAACATTTGGGAGGCTGAGTCAGGAGGATAATAGGCAAGGTTCAGAGGCCAGCCTGGGCTACATGATGAGACCCGTTTCAAAAAAAAATCTGTACATAGGGGTGATCAAAATATACAATGTTTAAATTTTTAAAATGTATTACAGTAAAATACATATTGCCATGGACAAATTCCCCTCACTCCAAACACTTTATTACATCATTTTTGTTACTTTCTGAAACAAAGTGAGGTTAAAAAATACAGTGATACAAAAATACAATAAACGCTGCCAAATGCCAAGCACAAAACAAGCTCATAATAACATTATAGTGTGTTCTCATCCATCTTACTCACCAGATCTGGCACTAGGCAAATCTGGCTCTTCCCCGAAGTCACAATGACCATGAAAGGTAAACATTTTGAATCAATCCAGGACATTAAGGCAGCCTCAACAATGCAACTAAATACATTCACAAAAGAGGACTACTTTAGACATAGCAAGAATCAGGGGATAAGTGTGTTCAAAGTGAGCATATTTTAAAAG